GGTCTTCCTCAGTTGTTGATGTGTCGAGCTGAGGTCCTCCTTAGTTGTCGAGGTGTTGAGTCGAGATCTCCCTCAATGATCGAGGTGTCAAACCGAGGTCTCCCTTAGTGGTTGAGGTGTCAGCTAGCTCGAGCTCGATTCGAATTAGAGACTTGAGCTTGAGCTCAGAAGTTTGAGCTCGACTCGGCTCGAACTCGACTACCTTTGATTGTAGGTCCCTTAAGAGCCGAGATGCCGAGTTGATGTCTCCCTCAATTGGAGAGAGAGTGGCATTCTTGTAATTTATAAGGAGAGAAAGATGGCAAGAGAGAGAGAGAGAGATGAATTCTTGTAATTTGTAAGAAAAAGAGAGATAGAGAGTTGGTAGGAGAGAGAGTGGCATTCTTGTAATTTGAAAGAAAAAAAAGCAAGAGAGAGAGAGTTGGTAGGAGAGAGAGTGGCATTTTAGTCCAATTAGGGGTGTCAATTGGATTGGATTTGGTCCAATCTGATCCAGTCCAATGTGACTCCATTATAAATGGACCAGGTCCAATCCAATGAATGTTTTGGACCAATTTGGACCAGTCCAATTCAATGTCTGGACCGTCCAATCTGTTTAAATTCATTTTGATTTAGATTAGTTTCAACCCGAACCCGGTCCATTGACACATATATTCTTTTCTTATATCAATGGACCAGATATTGGCTTAATCCAACCCAATCCAATATTAATTTGTTGTGGACGAACCAGGTCCAATCCAATCTAATAAATATTTTGGACCAGATTGGTCCAATCCAATATGTCTTATTGGTCCATCCAATCCATCCAAATTGATTTTGGACTAGACGAGGTCCAATCCAAAACTGGCCTATTGACAACCTTAACTCCAATCACATCTAGATCTACACTCACATGACACTGCAACTGTATATTGATTACTATAATATACAAGTACAGAAGATGTTCCCAATATTCGACTATAATGTCTTGTGGGTAATGTTGTTGTAGATAGCGAACCCAAGTGCACTCCAAAACCAGATTCCTTCCTTTTTTCTCTTGACTTGAGCAGAACCTTTGAGGTAGAAAGGTCGACATGTCTTAGCTGTATGAACAAGGCATAATAGATAATAGATAATAAATAATTATATAGTATTTTGATTACCAGCTTTTATCTCTCTCTAGCTTGGGGCAACATAACATGGGGTAGTCCATCCCCATCCCATTAACATGGGATTTGATCCTAGGTCTCTACTAGATTGAGTTAGAGAACAGAGATCCTATCCAAGGTTTAAAGTATCGACACGTATCGTCCCATATCAGCCAATACATATCGTTTTGGGACCCCTCCAATATGCCCCTACAGTGGATGTATCAGGGTTCTGACCGGTTCAGGGGGTGGAGGAACCCTAAAACGACCCCCCTGAACCAGTTTTGAAAAAAAAAATAAAAAAATAAAGAAAAAGGTATTGACTCGCCCGATACGCTCCTACTGGCATATCGGGCATATCGATATTTTGAACCTTGATCCTATAAACTAAGGCCATGTTTGGTTTATTGCTCTGAGCCTCGTTCTTTTAATTCTTGCTCATTATGGGCAAGAATGAATAACATTAGAGCATTTGGTTATAAAATTCTTGCCATGAGACTCATTCTTTTCAGAATGAAAAATAATCATGCCCCATCTTGATCATTTTCATTCTTTAAAGAAACTCTATGCCATAGTTTTCAAGGCATCAAGGCGACAGGGGGGTGCCTAGTCGCTGCCCGCCTCAGCGTCGCCTAGGTGATGGGTTTTTTTATGTAGAAAAACATAGATCCTAGAGTAGTTCCCTAGGCACCATAATCATATTTCCTTAATAATTATTCATAATTTTCATAAGAAAAGTATAGAGTTCATGTTGGAGTATAGAAAATCAACATATTAATTTGAAGTAGAAAAAGAACATTCAAAAAATATAAGGGCTGAAACCTTATTATTATAGGAAAAGAAGAAAAAAAAGTAGTAGTAGAAAATGTGTTGATTAGACAAAATTTTAAGCTCTTCCTTACTTTGGTTCAGGTTTTAAAGTCTTTGAGGGTTCAATACAATATTTAGCAATGTTTGTATTGATTAAACCCTAACAAATAAGAAAATAATAAAAAGAAATTAGTATATAAACACAACAAATGAATATTTTAGTTTAATAGTGCCTATTTTATAATTATAATGTCAAAAAATAAAGAATAAAAAGTATTTTATAATACATGGTACAAAACTACTTGGCAATTAGGCAAGGCGAGCCTCAAAGGGCGCCTTGTCGCTTAGGCATCGCCTTGACAACTATGCTCTATGCCAACGTTCATAAACCACCATCATAGATGTTTACTAATAGATTGTCATGAAAACTTACACAGTAGGACATTGACTACCAACCATCCACTGGTAAACATCTATGCCAACGGTTTTGGAGACTTGGACAGGTGGTTTATGACCACCGACAGAATTTTCTTTTTGAAGAATGAAAATGAACAACATAAGGCACTTCCAATCCGAAAAGAATTCAATTTTTAAGAAAAAAAGTATTTTGTTCATAGCAATGTTTTCTCATTCTGCCCAATTTTTCCATTTTTGTCCATATTAGAATTTCATCTTGGATAAAAATGAGAATCAAACCAAACATGACATAAAACACCATCAGTTGGAAATACCCTTAGCACTACCATTGCTCCTTGAGAAGGCTTTGCTATTGTGGCAAGCATGGTCTACATGGATCATACCTAAGAACATGGAACTGTTGAACACCATACTTAAAATGCACAATTCGTGAATTATAGAATCCTGCTAGATTGGATCAGCGTACCAAAATTTACCCTCGAGGACAAGGGTGTTTCCAAGGGAAATGTTACGTGCCCATTGTGACATGGTTGCTTACTCATACATGTGGGTTATGTTGGAGTTTAGTTTGCTTGAGTCAAAGTAGTGGAGTCATTTTAGTAGTCTATCATGGCCTACGTTACTGGTATTTCATTGGAAGTTGTTGCTAATTTTTAGTTTCCTTTTACTATGTGTCTCTTTGTGTGTATATATATTTGAAACCTGCTGAAAATAAAGATGTGAGATTTATGCTAAAAATATATCTATACTACTTATAAAAGAGTGAATTCCTCTTTTTTCTAGAAATTTGATTGGCGCTTTCTATCCCTCTTATCTAAACACAGCAGCCATAAAGAGGGCATATATATATCCTTTACTTTCACTTCAGAAATTGCCCACTCATAACTATTTAGAAACTATCCACTTATAAGTTATAACCATTCATAAACTGTCCATGAATTATAAATAGTTTTGTTTTAGAAATACTGCTAAGTACGTGTAAATGCACGTACATATTTACTAATAGATAGAAGTACAAGAACCGGATGGTGTTCAAAACTTAGGAGCATCAATGAAAACAAGGCTCTTCAGTTATGAATTAAGAGGGGACCGGGTAAGCTACCAGAACTGGCATATTCAAAGGAAATGGTGGTGAGGGAAGATGCACTGTGGGAGGTCAAAATCCTTTTATCTTTTTCTTTATCTGTTTGGTGTACAACTTTGACAAGGAATCTACACTTTACTCGTTGAGATTGGTGGAATTGAGGTGGGGCCGTGGGGGAGAGAGAGAATCTTCTTGTGCTCCATGCGGCTTTAGTTGATGACCAGAAGATTTCCTCGCTCAACACCACAAAGGGAAAATTGAGAACAACTTCTAAAGAGAATAAAGCAGAAGGTTCTTTATGGCCATGTCTTTCATATGACACAATAGATAAGTAGTCTGGAAATCATGTCTAATTATGATGTTAAGTAAAGTTCAAGCTAAAAGAGAAATTAACTAAAATAACAATAACCCACCGGTTATCATCGTCCAACGTAGAATGTTGGAACTGTTTTTATGGAGGTTGGATGGACTTCAACAGATAAATGTTCGAGGATACCAAATTTCGTCCAAAGAGGTTATCGGCACCTAATGATAGAACTGGCCCCTTTCTCTTTACTCTTGGCTGCTGAAGAGGACGCTGCATTATGAGCGCACCATCACAAGTTTTCTTTCTTTATTCGACTCTTGGCAGCTGTGGAGGGCAGCGCATCATGATAAATCATTGAGCGCACCATTGATTTTCCGACAAAAAAAGGAACACATCACTGTCTAAGTTCCAGGCACATCCAAATTCGATTCAACTTTTGAAATTCAGCCCCAATCCAATTTAACTTATACAAATATAATAAATTTATATAAATATAAAATATATAATATATTAGTTTCGTGAATAAATCATCTGTCACCCGTTAGAAGTGATTTATAAATTGAAGGGACCTGGGAACAGGCCGAAGATTAAGATAATAATGATTTAAGTATTCATAATTTAATAATGAATATGATACCAAACAGGTAAAACAGGATTCATGCAGGCAATAACATTTTGACCTTTAAATCTTATTGTAACTTTTATGGGTAATAGTAAATTGGAAAATTTATGGCATGTGAGACAGTTGGACGAATTTGAATCTGAACAACTGACTTGAATATTTGACTTGATAAAAGAGAATAGGGCTTAGTTTGTGAGATCTTAAGAATAAGAGTTCTTGCAAGGTGCCGACCCCGCGGGTTGGGAAGGTCTCTTGCTGCACGTGGCAGAGATTTGGGATCAAATCCTGCCTACACCTGGGTTGGGGGGAGGGGGGTTATGGATAAGCATTTATTTGTGTTTAGAAAATCAGCTTGAATAAGTGCTTATTTCTCATGAAGGAATAAACACATTTCATTTTTGAGCTGTCTTGGCCTGCCATGTCATATTGAAAATACCCATACTATCCCTATTTGAAATAAGTGTTTTTTCACCAAATGCTCATGAAAACTTATTAGAACAAACACTTATTCAATAAACACTTATTTTTCAATGCACTCCCAAACTCCACCTAGAATGAGACAATAACTAGAGATACTAATCATAGTTGTGCATTGTGCCTACAAAATTTAATGAAAGAGTATTATTAGAAAAATCGGAATACAGACCAATACTCATGGTATCAATCAAATTTTGCCTACAAAATCTTTACCCACACTGACCCACAAGACACTACAGCGAACATTTTCCCATGCATGAAGACATAAATACAGGAATTATTCTTGACGTGTGGCCGCAATGACATGTGGGAAGGGTGAGATTGGATTAGCTATGCATTGATTATTTAGCAGGCTGTGGAACCAATAATAATACCCATGCCAGTTGTGGTACATGCTTGTTAGTAAGGAAAAGACCTCAAGGTATGGCGTTCACCATTGAACCTGGATCTTTGACAAGCAAAAACTTTGCACACATAGCATCTAGTCACACATTTGGAACATGTCTGGTATGAACTAAACTCATAGGGAGATGCTCCCAATGTGTCCCTGGACTCCCATACTTTCGGTACAAGTTCAATCCTTGCCTAGAGACACGAAAACTATTGGTATCCCAAAAGATATGCTTGGGATGGTTGTACTCGTCATACCTGATAAAGTGGTCAGCAGGCAGATGGCCGCCTTTTACTGCCCGAGGCAGTCCAACAGGGCTATCGCATGGATGGGCCATCATTAACATATATTACGACCATGCCTCAACTTTTTCCTTCAATCTGGAGGCAAAAATTTGATCGGCATCCCCATGGTTTTGTTCTGTGGTTAACATTAATTTTGGGCATCTGAGAAGTGAATATTCTTATATATCTCTGGCCATGTCCAAGCCAACAAGGAAATCATAACCTCCCATCAACATAACTTTCCTTAAGATTCTGCAATGCTCGTCGAATTGAATCCTCATCCTGAGTTGAGTATTTCAAACATATCAACCTTTGAGCAACGTGGTAAGCCAATTGAATTGGATGATACTGCATGTAATTTATTTCCATTCTCTTCATTTCCTACCAAAATGGAAAACAAGATGTCAAAGTAGCATGGCAAACTTCCATATTCTAAGATGCAACGTGTAAGAAACTAAGAAAGGCAAGAGACAACAGCGAAGAAAAATTTAGGGTAAAAAACGACATTTCCAGAAAAAGTAACAAGGAACTGATGCATCACTTCAAAAAGTAATTTAGAGTTCTAGATGTTCCTCACTTTATTATACATTTGTCAGTATCCCTGCTCATAACGATATGGATTTCTTTATATTGTACTAAATCAATTACTTAGTATATGTTTGGCATCGATGCTTCAGTCGGAAAATGGTGCTGTATATGTGTGGGTTGGAAGTATATTTTTGTTTTTTTTTTTTGGAAACATTGCTGCTAGGTAGGATGTTTCTTGGAGAAACAACAACACCTTCTGTTTGGTACCAGTGCTCCATACCTGTTTTCAGCACCGGTACCCATTATAGAAAGTCCACGTCACTGCCACACCATGTCCTCGTTGGCAGCAACGACCTTCAATCTGAGAAAACGTCAAATTCGGTGTTGCTCCAAACCACACATTCTCAATTTCCAAGATGTGGCTTAGAGCACCGTTTTTTATGAAAAAACAATTCCAAACATATTGATGTTTCCTGGAGCACTGATTTTTCCAACATGGCGCTGATGTGTCACCATTTTCTGGAGCAACGACATCGATGCCAAACAGACGCTTAAACATCCCTTGTGTGTGTGTGTACATGTGTGCTTTATTTCTTGGACAGAGTCTGAAAATGATGCCAAAAAGACATGATACCGGAAAAACTTGTAACCAATCAACCAGTATCATAAAGGTGGTAACCAATCAGGTGTATGTAGATCCAAATTTGATTCATCTATAATTGGATTTGAATCGGATTGTATCCATCGGATATCTAGTGGATTCATATTGAATTCGAATTATAATTGGATATTAAATAGAATCAATAAATTAAACTAAAAATGATCAAAACGTTATGTTTTATAAAATGAACAAAAAAATGGCATTATTATTATATTTATTCTATGAACAAAATGAATTGAAAATTACTGAAACTTTAACCTATGACAATTTAGTGAAAATACAACATTCAAACCATCTTTACTGATAGATTTAACATAAATTAAGTATAAAACCCTTCCAGTATCATGTCTTTTCAGCAGCATAGTTCTTTCCATTTTTTATCTCCGATATGTAAAACCAGGTCTTCAGGTATCTGAAAGGTCATTGTCTTTGTTTTCTTAAAAGCTAAATAGCTAATAGACCACTACTTGTACAAATAGAAATAAAAGGTAATTTAGACTTGACATTATCGAAAAAATAAAATTTATTAAAGACAAAAAAGAAAATACAAGGATGGTGATAAAAAATCACCCAAAGGAAAAAAAAAGAAACAACACCTCCAACAAAACCCCAATTCCAATCCAACAAAACACAACACGCGCCCCAAGAAACATGATAATATCATCCCAATAAAAGAAAGAAGGCAAACAGCTCCCAACCTAAAATCTTAAAACCAACACTCATAACTGACAAAAATACAACCCACTCACCCCTAAATCCTTAATCCAAAACCCTGGGATGACCAACTAAACAACTCTACACATGCCACCATAACTCCACATACGAGATCACGCAACACTTAATCTACTAAGCTTTTTCAAAGGCTTGAGTGTGGTCACCTCTACTTCTAACAACCTTAGGGCTCCTCTCACATTCCACATTTGCTTTATTCTCAGTTCTGTCAAAACTTCTTGAATTCTCCACATTAACACTCTTCTTAGTAGAATCACTTTTATCCTCCATATCTTCTACAAATAAAACCTCCCCATCAGCAACCAATTTGTCGTCGACACGCTTTTTAGTAGAATCTTCCTTAACAAATTTCTACTCCAACTCTTTAAAGGTCTTCCTTCCGAACTCTTACCATCCTAGAAAGAATAAGTTTGCTGACCTCAACCTCAAATTCAACCACCTCCAAATCAGTTGATTTTTCTAAAGTGTGGGTTTTGCCAATTACCACATGAGATCCAACCTATCTTTTATCTCCTGATCAAAATTGTCCTTATCTTCCAGCAGTTCTGTACTCCCTCCTACAGTAAACCTGGGAAAGATCCAATTCCCTACCCTCATGCTCTAATAAATTCTCTCCCTCTTATTCTTGGAAGAACTCTCCCCTTTGTGCATTGTCGATTTGAACCCCCTTTCCCTACCCCTTGCTACTTCTACCAAAAACCTTTCATCTTCTTTACTGTTACATTTATTAACAACATCAATATCTCTCCCCTTTCCCTCACCTTGCACAACAACCTTTGCCACGGCATCCCCAACTTTATAAGCATTTAAGACAGTGATTTAAAATGTGTGCCTTAGGTGCACCTAAGCACACAAGGCAAGGCACATTTTAGGGTACAAGGGGAGGGAATTGGATGGATGAATGAATGAGCAACGTTGGCATTTTCTTTACATACTTTTTGTTTTTTTGAATATTTTACATTTTTGCACCTTGCTTCAAAAAGGCATGTGCCTCGTCTTGCACCTTGGGTGCAAAATAGCCCTTGCACTTTTTTTGCACCTTTCACTTTAAAAACATTGATATAAGGATATACCACAAGACTCTTTAGAACAAATTGATACAGAAACTCCCATGTCACAAGATGCTATCTTACAAGACTTTGTAATCTCTTCTGTTCCACCATCGAGAGCCTCCCTCTTGGCATAAATAGGCCTACCAACCAATGTTTTAAAACATGAAGGCGTGACGCAAGGCATTCCGCTACCTAGAGGCATGAAGCGTAGTTCAGAACGCAAGAGGCGTAATCCTCCCGAACACAAGGAGGCGTAAGCCTCCTTAAGAGGAGGGGGGTTAGGAGGAGGATGAAGAGGAAGGGGGATCTCATTTTTCTTTATATTTAATAAAAATCTTTTATATTAAGCAAGTCTTATTCCTAGGCATTAGTTTGAGGGGGAGTGTAAAGACAGTGAAATCTAGCTATAGGGCTATTTTTGTACTTTTACTTTTCTTTTCTGTATATCTCTCTTGTACATTAAGGGCAGATCTGTCCTTTTACAATTTAATATAAATATTTCTTTTAGGGTGTCGACTGACACATGGTGTCACACCCGCCATTCAGCTGTGTTGTCTCTCTCTCTCTTTCTCTTTCTCAGTTTTTCGATCTAACTCTAACAAGTGGTCTAATGTCAACAACTCACCCTCTAAGCAAAAACAATGGAGAAAGACTCCCAAAACTTAGTTGCTCTGATACCAAGTTGCAATATCTAGGGTTTTGTTGAGAAAGAACAAGAAGAAGAGGAGGAGAGAACAAAAAGGAGAAAGAGAGTTACGAATGGAGAAGAGATACTGTTCACTCTCTCAAACTTGTTATTTTATATTTTTGAGAGAAACTACAAGTTAGCCCTCATATGGGTGCCCAAATACAAAAGAGCATGAAATGACAAAAATACCATTCCCCAAACAATCTCAACACTTACTTTTAGAAGTTACTATGTTCCTTCTAAAAGGGTACAATATCTGGTGGTGGATCTTCTATCAAATACAAAATTGGACCAATCTGCATTTGTATAGCCTTATACCTCAAGCATTCCACCAAGTCTATAGAATGGTCTATGACCTGGGACTCCCTTCAAGTATTGTACAATTATGATAACTACATTCCAATGTGGAATTCAAGGACTCAACAGAAATTGGCTCACCAAACTTACTGCAAAGGAAATATGTAGTTGAGTAATAGTTAAATACTTCAACTTGCCAATTAATCTTTTGTACTTGCTAGGATAATCAAGCTACTCCATTATATTAGTATTGAGCTTAACATTAGGCTTTGTTAGAGTCAACAATACAAGGGTATTTTGGTCCTTTGTCTATCTAATTGACAATGTATAGTCTGTTTTGTTTAAGTTTAAGTTGTGTCCCATACTTAATGAGGGACAATACTGTCTTTTATAATTCAGCTTATACAATATAAATACAAAGTGGGTCGGCTGGGAGAATAGACATTTTCTCTCCTTGACCAAACCCTTCTTCTTCTCTTTCTCTCTTTACATACTTCGGACCTAGAACTGAATAGTATTAATCAACCTATTCATAGGCTCCATAGGTATTTCAATTGGTTTAGAACCCAATAACCCAGTCCTCTCTAATAGGTTAAGAACATACTTTCTTTGACATAGGTTGATGCCATGCCTTACCTAGCAACTTTTACACTAAAAAATTTGCTTGCCAAGATCTTTTCTTTGAAAATGATCTTGTAAGAATCCTTTTAGGCTTGCAATACCTAAAGTATCACTACCAATGATTACAATCTCATCTACATGTACCTCTAATAGGATCTTTCCTGCTGCAAAATCATAACTAAATGCTGGATGATCAACTTGGCATTACTTCATTCCAAGTTCTTACACCACTTCAATAAATCCATTTAACCAAGCATGTGGGGATTGTTTCAGCCCATAGATTGCCTTTTTTTAGTCTACATACCTAACCATCCTCCTCCTAAGCAACAAACCTGGTGGTTGCTCCATATAGACTTCCTTAGGTAGATCACCATGTAAGAAGGAATTTTTTAAATCAAGTTGAGACAGTGGCCAGTTATACATAACTGCTAGAGAAATCAACACACAAACTAAACCAATTTTTGTAACTTGAGAAAATGTTTCCATATAATCCACACCATACAACTATGAGTACTCTTTAGCAACTAACCTGGCTTTCAGGTGTTCTACACAAGCATCTTGTAAGTATTTGGCTATGTACACCCATCAACATGCTTTCCAAGAGGGAGAGTGGTAAATTCCCACATATGACTATGTTCTAGTGCATAAAGTTCCTCCTCCATTGCTTAGATAGTCTTAGGAATAGACACAAAAGACAAAAAAAAAAAAAAAAAAAAAAACAAAGTGGCACTGTGAAGAAGAAAGGTGAGAAACAAAAAATAATAATAATAATAATTAGATATCAGATGCAAAGTACAACTAC